ATGCACACAAATTGTCAAGCAAGCCGTGCAGTTTCTCGAAGTTTTCAGGTCGACCGCGAAGCACTCTGCCATACTCACTGTCAGTTTACAACACTCTCCACAACAAACACCAGGTATGTCAGCTGACCATGCCGGTAAAAAATCGGTGCGAAAACTAAAAAAAGATGACGGACCATTCGTCTATAATCGGTCTCGGGGGCAAAAAACCGAGCAAAAAACATCAAGTGCATCACGGAGGAGACGGCAACGCACATCCATTTCCCGGACTCAAACCGATCGAATTCGACGGATAAGAGCCCGGGTCTCTGTGTGTTGTAGCATGGAAGTTACCGAACAGGCGCGAAGCAACTGTTGATTTCGTTCGAACTGCTGATTCTAGCCCCGGAAAAGCCTTACCAATGAAACCCCCTACGACAAGCAGGTGAAAAAGGAATTCAGGTCGTTTTTTCCACTCGGCCCAAGTTTTACTCGTCTCTGCTACTGGTCAAGGGTTCGGATAAGAAAGAGCTAATGGTGAAGTAAGACACCCACCGGGTGATGTATTTCTGTGCGAGAATATTGCGGATCAAATTCCCATCTAAATACAGCTGGGAATATTAACTGGAACCTTGTAATCCATCGCCATCACCCGTTCATCCTACTGTGCAGTTTCGACCTTTTCGGTGCGGAACCGTTTTCTGCACTTGAGCTGTGAGCTTTGATTATTATAGTTGGGCGGTGTCCCGAGCGGTGTTCATTAATTCCGTTTCGCTAAAAATCAATATGTTTGACCCCCCCCCCTTTGGAACAAAACGGTACACTGAAAATGACCCCCCTCTATTTATTACGCAACGCTCTATAAACATAGAGGTAACTCTAAGACCACTGGGTCCCGAAGAAAATCATTATTATTTTTGGCTCACTCAGTACCAGAACAACGGTCCCAAGCAGTCCCAAGCTATTTCACTCACCCCTGCATGTTCTGCATGAATCCACACACCCCTGATGTTATCTTTCAAACTTTCATAGCGAATCAAAACAAACATAGTGTAGTAATAGAATTTCAACTAGAATAGGGTACGTTAATCGTTTGCTTGGGACCAATAGGCTACTAAAGTGGTGAGCCAATTTAAAATCGTTAGTTTCGTATTGATTGTTGCTATAAACCCCCCTCCCTCGCCTTTTCATTTAATTAATGTATGATTTCGTTTTGTATTTTTTTATTTTTAGGTAATTAATTATATTATTAATATTCAAAACAAAAACAAAAGATCAGCGTACCATCGTGTACCTCCTTTTCAAAAGTTCAAGATAGCAAAAATCTCAATTTATAAAATTAAAACAGATCCATTTTGTAAAGCAAGATTTAGTGATGATAGCCTTCGTTGTCGTTGCCAAAAGCGTCAAAAAAGACCTGTATTTTCAAACTTTACATCAAGAAACGAAAAAAAAAAACAAAATGTTCTCTTTTTTACGCAACGCAAAGCTTTACTACTCCTCCCCTATGTATAATTCGTAACGATATAGGTGACTCCCTCTCTCCCTATAAGCGTTACGTAATTCATGGACGCTTCATTGCAGCAAATTTTTCTTCTTTTTACGCCTATCCTCTTCGCGTTCAGACTCGTATCCCTCTGAAATTTTTTAACATCCCTCACATCACATCAATTGCCTGATCTATTCCCATCTATTTTTTCTATCCCTGCTCAATTTTCGTCAACACGACACACTCAAAAAAATCCCATCAATTATGTTTTTCCCCGAAAATCCCAAGTAATTACTAGACTGAAAAAATACATCCAAATGAGTGTCGTTCCCCCTGGGTTTTACGGTTTTACCAACAATCAATACGAAACTAACGATTTTAAATTGGCTCACCACTTTAGTAGCCTATTGGTCCCAAGCAAACGATTAACGTACCCTATTCTAGTTGAAATTCTATTACTTCACTATGTTTGTTTTGATTCGCTATGAAAGTTTGACAGATAACTTCAGGGATGTGTGGATTCATGCAGAACATGCAGGGGTGAGTGAAATAGCTTGGGACTGCTTGGGACCGTTGTTCTGGTACTGAGTGAGCCAAAAATAATAATGATTTTCTTCGGGACCCAGTGGTCTTAGAGTTACCTCTATGGTAAAACCATAGAGGTAAACTCTAAGACCACTGAGTGAGCCAAAAATAATAATGATTTTCTTCGGGACCCAGTGGTCTTAGAGTTACCTCTATGGTTTTACCATAGAGGTAACTCTAAGACCACTGGGTCCCGAAGAAAATCATTATTATTTTTGGCTCACTCAGTACCAGAACAACGGTCCCAAGCTATTTCACTCACCCCTGCATGTTCTGCATGAATCCACACACCCCTGATGTTATCTGTCAAACTTTCATAGCGAATCAAAACAAATATAGTGTAGTAATAGAATTTCAACTAGAATAGGGTACGTTAATCGTTTGCTTGGGACCAATAGGCTACTAAAGTGGTGAGCCAATTTAAAATTGTTAGTTTCGTATTGATTGTTGGTTTTAACCCGTTCACATTACAGCCTATATCACGTAATATAGGCTGTCTTGCAATGAGCACTCATACATAGGATTTCATTAACGGCGCCGGTGGTGTAGTGGTAAGCGTGATTACCTCTCACCCCAGCAGGCCTGGGTTCAATCCCAGTCGGCGCCGCCGGGATGTTCTGAGGCATAACATCTCTGATCACGCCTTCCTTCGGGTGGGAAGTAAAGCCGTTGGTCCCCGGTTCATGAGTTGATGGGTCGATAGGTAGGGTCCAGGTGTGAGAGCTGCCTTCCTGGCACGTCGGTAGCATTGGTGCTCAGCACGGAAAACAAGATCGACGGAAAAAAACAAACCAAAGGAAAAAAAAAAAAAAACATAGGATTTCCAGTGAAAACTATAGATGTATGAGTGCTCATTGCAAGACAGCGTATATAACGTGATATACGCTGTAATGTGAACGGGGTATAAGCAACAATCAATACGAAACTAACGATTTTAAATTGGCTCACTACTTGACTAGCCTATTGGTCCCAAGCAAACGATTAACGTATCTCATACTAGTCGAAATTTTAGTACTACGCAATGTTTGTTTTGATTCGCTATGAAAGTTTGACAGATAAAATGAGGGGTTAGTGGATTTTCCTATGTTTCGAGGGGTGAATCGATTAGCTTGGGACCGAAGGTAGTACGAGAGCTGAGCCAAAAAGTTGAGCGCATTTCTTCGGGACCTTCTGGTCTTAGAGTTACCCTAATAAAAAATAACCATAAACGAACGACAACCCAAATCATTGAACTATTCCACAAATGGTTTGGATGATACCCAGAACACGTCGTTAAGCAAATTAACCATACAATTTTTATTAGGGTACCTTAGAGTTAGAGTTACCGCAGTACTCAGGTTTCCACAGGTGTTTAAAGTACTCATCAATGAAAACAAAATTGTATCTAAAACAGTAGTGCTAGAGAAGTACATACTTATTTTTAAGTACTTTTCATCTCGATTTTGAGTTATTTCGTCTTTCCGTATATAGGGGAATTTACGTATTCTTGGCAACCTAAGCAGCGACCTTCTTTCTATAGCCTTTTTCTCTAAGGAACGCACACATATGCAGTATTGGTTTGTTTACAATCTTTTGCTGCCAGTTGCTCTAACAAGCAGTGCTGCCATTTATACAGATTTATCTGTATTATACAGATTTTTTAATCTTAATACAGACCCGATACAGAATACAGATTTATCACAGATTTTTAAATTACAATACAGATTTATACAGATTTTTATAAAATGAATGTTATGGTGTTTTTGACAGCATTCACAACCAGAGGACCAACCGCTTTCGGATGCATATGGAGCTGGTAGTAAACGATTTGAGATTGTATGGGGATTTACAGTATTAATTGAATATTTCCAATATAAGCATGTATGTTAAATACAAGAAATGTGGCCGAGCACATTAAAATGGTACAAATACAAGTACTCGTAAACATTTTACTTGCATTGAAAATGTATTTCGTAAGAAATTGCGGATTTTCTGATATTCTGCATACTGCAAAAATGATTTTACCAGCACTGGCGGGGCGGCATCTCTCGACTTTTCGGTGTAACTACCACACAAATGATGTAATTAATTGTATTCATCTATTTTAAAAATATCAAATAGTAATGAACTCGTGCACTTTTTTGCATTTAAAACTGCTTATCAGGAAGATAATGAATAGAAACTAAAATCTCCATACATTTTCAAACGGCTTCATATCACTCTTATAAATAAGTACGGACGATATCACAAATGGCGCAATTATATCCCGTATGGTTGGTACCATAATCCGAATAGGTGGTTAAGCACTTTTTATGGTTATTTTGTATGCACTGTATTTGTAAAACAACAAAACATGATTAATTAAGAAAAAAATCGTCAATACAGAAAATACAGATTTTTTAATAGAGTGGATACAGATTTTTTATAAAACCACCTGGCAGCTCTGCTAACAAGTTCAGTCGAAAGAATTGTCAAAAACTGTTTTGAAACGCTTTTACAAAGCTCCAATCTTCTCTAGTGAGAGCGAGTATTGTCGGCAACCAGTTTTTCTTCGGCAACCGTTCCATTTGAACTGCATGTAAATCTGCTGTTCTATTATCGGCAACTCGAAATCAGCTACAATTTGTAGTGCGTGTGTTTCATTTCAAGAAAACCTTGCTAGATTGCTTTTTCTCAGTGGTAAAAATATAGTCAAATTGAAGCTGAAAGCATAAAGAATCGTTTGCATGCATTCAGCGAAGTGTTTTCATAAGAAAATCCAGTGAAAATAGTGTTTCAATTTGTGCTGCCGAAAATAGTATGTCATGCCGAAGCCGTCATTTCCCCTATAGAAAACCACAGGGCAAGCATAGCTCAATAATTGGTCACTCACTGATTGTTCCATGAATGATGAGCATAAAATTATGTTGTTTGTCATTTTAGTCACTCAATCAATCTGTTTTGTTTAGTTTTCATGGTTTATATGAAAATAGTGCAGCGCAAATATAAAACTTTAATTAATGAAGTGATTCCGAATTTGCGTGAAAAAATGGCTTGAATTGGACTTTGGTTATAAGTACGTAAGCTAGAATGTCGTGGCTACAGGATCTCGCTGGCAAAGCTGAGAATATACTCACCAAAATCGACCAGAATGCAGCAACAGTATTGACTCGTCAGTCAGCTGAAAATGGTGATGTGGAAGCTTCAGAACCGCTGGTGGAAGTCACTACCGTTCCTGGAACGACCACTACGACAATGATAATGGATTCCAATTTTGCTCCCGCTCCAATGAAATTACCAATTTCGAAAGGGCTCTCTTTGAATGTAAAAACATCACCCAGGGGCATGATTAGATCTGCTTCTTCCGCCTCACATGAGCGGAGCAGTTTTGTCGATTTTGATAGTGGATCTGTGAAGTCAGAAAGGCAAAATTCATCTCGGAGAAGCTCGATTAGCTCTAAGAAGGATGGAACGGTAATTGAATTTACGACAAGCCCTATTGAGACCAGTGCAGTTTCTAATTATGGCTATTCATTGGAAAAAGAACTAGCGGCAACCAAAATCATTCTGGCGGAAGTAAAATCTGAAAGAGACGAATTGAAGATCGAGCTCGACAGCGCTCAAACTCAACTGTCGAATTCTGAAAACGAAGCCAAAGTTAAGGAATTGGAAAATCTCTGTCAGATTTTAATCGATGAGAAAAATGAACTTTTCATAAAATTAACGTCAATTGAAGAATCTAATGAAAAATATATCAAATCGATATCGGAACTAGAATCGATTGTATCGAAGCATATGCAGAATGAACAAGAGCTTGATCAGAAACTGGAAACCGCCAAAGCAGAAACCAATAATGCAATAGCTGAACTGCAGCAATATCGTGTGAGAGCTCATGCAACGCTGCAGTTGAAAGAAAAAATGATCGAACAATTGAAGGAGAATGTTATTCCGGGTGGCATGAATCAGATTGGCAATGTAAGCTCTGAACAAATAATACTAATAGAACTGGAGCAGCTGAAACATGAACGACAAAATCTAGCAGAAGAAATTTCCGCTCTAAACGACAAATACGAGAAAGGTAAGCTCTTCTGGCAGTCGACGGAGCAGAAGTTCAAAGGAACGATATTTGAACTGGAGAGCAAAATAGAAGATTTACAACAACGCCTGAAAGTGGAAACTACTAAACTGCATCAGCTGGACGACGATTTAGGCATCAAGCAAAGAGAACTGCTATCGGCTAGAGAAGAACTGGTTAAACAACGCACAGCATTTTCCGTTAAAGTTCATGAAAAGTAAGTAAGCAGTGCATAGCTGTTGTCATATTATGATCCCATTGTGCTGTTTTCTAGGGTAGCTGAAATCACCAAACTGCGTAATAAAATGCACAATCGTCCTACGAGCCCTTCTTCGGACTTGGAACAAAGACTGGCATCTCTAACGCAATCTTTAGTGCAAAAACAGAACACCCTGGAATCAACGACCGCAGAGAGGAATGCGCTTCGTCTTCAGCTTGAGAAATTAGATGTAATGCACACAATACATGATACGGTACTAGCCAGAAAAATTAATTATGCTGGTGATTTTTCAGACTCAATACCGGGGCGTCGTTTCCCAGGTCCGGCAACAACGGGCGGCTTATACAAGCCTTAATGAAACGGATGACGGTAAGTGTGTGATTCTGAGAGAAATTTACTATCAATCTGATAAACTAATAACTCATGCAAACGGTTTCTTTTGCAGCGAAATCCCAAGTTCCAAATTTTATGGTCGAAAATCCCTTCGACAATAACATGGCGAGACGCGTGAAACGAGCATACTCATCGTTGGATTCCATTGGCATACGATTGGGTGTATTCCTAAGGCGATACCCGTTGATTCGGATATTGGTAATTGTCTATATTGCCGTTCTGCACATGTGGGTCATGTTTGTGCTGCTTTCGTCTACTCCAACGTAGTGCGGCAGTGGTGGGACATTTTATTGCAATAGGGTTAATTGAGATGTTGTACAATTACAAAAAAAAAGAAATAAAAATCTTATTTTGAATAATAGAATAAAATAAATGAAAATGAATTCAATTATAATCATTGTCAGCATAACCTGCTTGTGACTTTTAGTTTTTGTGTGTTTATCCTGTTGTCCGGATGTTTACTTCGGTGGTGTGTTTACTGCAGATGCAGTCCAAACGTTGTTTGTGGTTCCGTGTCGTTGTCACATTGGTTGTGTTGGTAATGTCAAATATGGAACCAGAAGTAAAACTGCATATTTATGGCGACTTCAATCAACGAAACGCAGACTTTATAACAGACATTGAAAATGAATCATTTTTACTCCCGGTCGTAGGTGAAGACGAAACATTACAATTATTATTCGACAAAATATCTTATTTTGGTCTTAATCAAATAAACCATGTAAAAAAATCAACAAAACTCATATTTAGACCTTTTATTTACAAATTGTACTGAAGACTTCTGTGTGGATACATCATTAGCACCTTTATGGAAAAATGAAGAGTTTCACACAGCAATTGAATACTCAATCTTCGTACAAAATTCTTCTTCCTCCAGCGACTGGGAATACGAGGAAGTGCCGGAATACCATAAAGTAAATTACGAAGAAGCCAAACGTAGACTATGTACAATAAATTGGCAAAATTTAATAAGTATTGAAGGAAATGTCGATACTGAAGTAGAAAAATTTCACTCAATTCTTCAAAACCTAATTTTAGAAACTGTACCATCAAAAAAAAGAAGACGAACACAAAACAATAAACTACCCGCATGGTTCAATCCACAACTGAAAAATTTAAAGAATAAAAAACAGAAAGCTCATAAACTATACAAAAAAGAAAAAACTGAAACCAATTTGCGAAACTATCACAACTTATGCAACCAATTAAATACAGCCATCAACTCTGCATATGAGGACTATAACCGCACAGTCGAAAATGAAGTCAAATCATGTCCTAAGAACTTTTTTAATTATGTAAACACGAAATTAAAAAGCAGCAATTTTCCTTCGCGAATGAATTTGGATGCAAATGTAGGTGAGAATTCTTCTGAAATTTGCAATCTCTTTGCAAATTTCTTCCAAGAAGTATACACCACATTTTCCGAAGAAGATCGTGACCGCGATTTCTTTGCATTCATTCCTGAAATTTCTAAAAACATCTCTGTCAACCAACTTTCTCAACATGAAGTCCTCAATGCACTAAAAAACTTAAACGCGTCGAAAGGGTCTGGACCTGACGGCATCGCACCCATATTTTTGAAAAACCTTTCTGAAGAACTCGCATTTCCTCTAGAGCGTCTTTTCAACATGTCTCTGAAAAATGGAAAATTCCCTGAAATTTAGAAATCATCTTATTTGGTACCTATTTTCAAATCAGGTGCAAAATCAGACATTCGAAATTATCGTGGAATTGCTATTATTTCTTGCATTCCAAAACTTTTTGAATCAATCGTAAACGGCAATATTTTTCAGCAGGTGAAAAATCTAATTACAAGTAAACAGCACGGCTTTTTTAAAGGTCGCTCAACTACCTCTAATCTTCAAGAATATGTATCTTTCATTATTAAAGCGTTGGACAGTGGCAAGCACGTTGAAGCGCTATACACCGACTTCAGTAAAGCATTTGACCGCATTGACATACCATTATTAATCCTCAAATTGCAGAAAATAGGAATGGAGCCTGGACTTTTGAATTGGCTTCAATCATACCTAACACATCGTAAACAAATAGTTCGCTTTCAAAATAAACTTTCAAAACCAATTTCAGTCACCTCTGGGGTACCCCAGGGTTCTCATTTAGGCCCACTTCTTTTTATTTTGTACATAAACGACATTTCCTACACACTTAAAAAAATAAAATTGCTTGTATATGCAGACGACATGAAGCTCTTTATGGAAATAAGTAATTCTAGCGATGCAGAAGAATTCCAGAATGAAATCAATATATTCCACACCTGGTGTAGTAAAAGTCTACTTTAACTGAACGTAAAAAAATGTACTGCAATAGCATTTAGTAGAAAAATTGAAACACCGCATATTGAAATATCATTAGGCAACCAAATAGTACAAAAAAGCAAAATTGTAAGAGATCTAGGTGTAATCCTAGACTCCAAACTAACTTTTATAGAACATTATAATACTATCATTAGTAAAGCAAACAGAATGCTAGGCTTCATCAAAAGGTTCAGTCATAATTTCGAAGACCCATACACTATTAAGCTTTTATATACCACATATGTAAGGCCAATTCTGGAATACTGCCACCTAGTATGGAATCCATACATTTCCATACACGAAGAACGCATAGAATCTGTCCAAAAACAATTCCTTTTATATGCTTTACGTAAATTGAATTGGACTGCATTTCCATTACCATCTTATGAAGCGCGCTGCATGCTCATCAATATACAAACACTTAAGGAGCGCCGCCAATTTGCAATGCTTTTCTTCATCAACGACATTATTTCAATGCGCATAGAGTCGGCTGAAATTCTCGCACAATTAGATTTTTACACACCTTGTCGATATCTTAGAACACGGAATTTATTTTCAGAAACATCGTACAGAACAAACTATGCAAAAAATAGCCCAATCAATCGAATGATGCGCCTATATAATTTGCATTGCGGAACTATTGACATCACTATGTCCAAGCAGCAAATAAAAACTAAGCTAAAACAGAAAGAATTAATGCATAATATGTAAGTAAACATTGTAATAATCATTGTATGTAGTCTACACTGGCTTGACGAAATGGAAATAAAATAAAATAAAAAATAAAAGTAACTAATATGTTATTTTTTGGTATATTTACAAGATATTTTTAATTGGGTAGAATACATCTCATATATGGCTGAGATTTCAAATACATAGGGGAAATGGATCTAAGATTGGGCCCATCGCAAAAAGTCTGCTATTTATCAATTTTATCTAGATGAACGCGTCATTGGACGGTACTAACGGATATTTTTGGTCGCTATTGAAAATTTAGTCGATTGCTGAATTTAGGTATGGGCCCAAATTAGGGACATTTAGGCCGACATTACATACATTTTCCCTTTTTTCGAGAGGTAAGATAACCGATGTACTTCTCGAAACATAGGAAAATCCACGAACCCCTCATGTCAAACTTTCATAGTCCTCTCCAGGCGGGTTCGTATTGGTGCGATTTGCGTGTGTTAGTGAGATGAAATTTTTTGTTAGCTGAGAGAAATTTTTTGTTTGCTGTAAGAACTGTCATTCTAAAGCAAAAATAAACAACAAAACGAAAATAAACCCTACGCTTGCACGCTAACAGTGAAGTACCCTTTTGTGAGTAAAGGTTAACCCATTTTTGATAAAGGCGGCTTTACTCATTAATGAGTAAATTATTTTAACAACAATGAGTTTCTGCTAACAGTAGCTAACAGTTACTACGTAATTGGCATAATGAATTACTCATTAATTAGTGGTGCCGCTTTTATTGACAATGGGTTCACTTTTACTCATAAATGGATGTTTGATTCTTACCGTGCACATTACAGTATACGCTAGTGTGTGTAAAATTATGTTATTAGTGTAGTGTTCGTGAGATCCTGCTTGGAGAACTCAATACCGAATCAAAACAAACGTTGTGTAGTACTAGAATTTTGACTAGAATGGGGTACGCTTACATATATAGATGTACTTGGGACCAATAGGCTAGTCAAGTAGTGAGACAATTTAAAATCGTTAGTTTCCACCGGTTGAAACAGTTGTTGGCAGTGCCGTAAATCTCACTGCTCGCAGTATGGAATGTTGTGATAGAGTGACCATCGACAAACCGACATGAATGACCATAGTGTAATAGTCTGATTAAAACAGGCGGTTTCCTTCACATCAAACAATCTTTATTCCCCGCAAGGCACGATCATCTCACACTCTGTCTCTCGTGTGTCTGTCCTTTTTCTCCTTCGTTCCCTTCTCTCGTTCGCTCTCTGTCATTACTGATTCAATGTTATTCTACTATCCAAGGTATGTGGATAATGATAGAACAGTAGAACCCTACATCCCTACTTTTCCTTAAATTGAAACAAACAATATTATGTTCTTAATAAGTTACATAATCTTTCAGTCGACTGGATTCAACTCTAGCTCTCTTAGATACTACGGTTGAGCTGTCCTCATGGTGTAGTGTTTTCGGTTGACCCACTGATTCATCCTGGCGGTCCAATGTATCTGACGATTCTTGTCGACGACAAGAACCACTCGTATTCTCATTCGGCTGACTCTCCTGCATCGATTTCCTTGGTAATGACTTCAGGTGAGCAGCGCTTCTTCGGAATTCCTTGCCAGATGACGACCTAATAGTGACATCTGTTCCCCGCTTTTTGATCACACTATATTCTTCAGGCGAGAAATTCGAATGCAGTTTGTTGTCCTTCTTCATCCGCTTCGCCAACACTTGATCTCCAACTTTTATAGTACTAAGTTTTGCTTTGCGGCGATTATCAGCGTATGCTCTACCCTTTTCCTTTTCTATTGCGTCTCGGTCCCTTATCTCTCCATCGTCATAAGTGTTGGTAGGAACTCTTGGCAACTTTGTTCGCATCCGGCGACCAAACATCAAATCCGCAGGTGGTTTCCCAGTAGTTGAATGGTTTGAAGAATGGTATACTAGCAGATATTGTCGCAGATCCTTTCGCCAATCTTGTCCCAACTCCTGGGCTATACGCAATCGTTTTAAAATGGAACGGTTCTGCCGTTCAACCTCTCCGTTCATCTGCGGCCAGTACGGAATAGTGCTATCCAGATGTACGCCATATTCATCACAGAATGCTTGAAACTCTTCAGAAGAAAACTGAGGGCCATTATCTGCACGAAGTAACTCTGGAACTCCATACCGCGAAAAAATGATTAAAAGTTCTTTAATAGTTGATGCTGTTGTTATTTCATCCATTTCTACGACTTCCATAAATCTGCTATAGTAATCAATACACACTAGCAAATTTTCGCCATTCG